GGGGCACGCAGGTGAACGCCACATGATCTTTTTCTCAATTCCTAATAAGGCTGTTCTTATTATGTGCCTATTGAAACTTTTCTGCTCTTTATCTTTTTTGTACCATAAAAGAGCATACCAACCTAACTGTAGATCATGTCCTTCCAATTTGAGTAGTCTATTATTATCTAAGGTTAACCATTCCTTTATCCAGACTAATACACAGACTCTAGAATAGAATGCCCAATCGTTCATGTTTGTTATGTATTTTTCATGCATATTCATGATGCTGAGAAGCGGAACTGAGAGAGATGTGATAAGAGGCGGAGCCTGAGAGAGTGGGATATGGGAGACCCAAACCTGCTCTTAACACCCCCTGAGCGTTCTAATGTTATATCACTTCATCTCCTTCCCTAAGTCCCCAAATGGCTTGCTGATTCCCACCTAACCCCTGCCAACTATTTTGCGCCTCTATAGGAAATGGTGTGAAGTAACAATTTAATGTCAGAACTACTGTACAGCCTCCCTGCCCTGCCTCTTCTGGGAACTGCCTCTGAGTGGCCACCCACTGGAAGAAGCGGAGCTAGGAACTTGGCAAAAAAAAATGAACCAAAATGAACTGTCACTTTGGCGGTTCTTGCTCATCTCTACTCAGAACAATTATGACTTCACTGAGAAGTCCCTACATGACAAACTGGGAAGTGAGCCAATCAGGCCCCTGCAACTTTGCGTGATGACTTCAACATCATTCAAAAGGACAAAGGAGAAGGAGAGTGTTGAGAAACAAAAAGTGTGTGTGTACTCTCTGTATGTGTGGATGTACATCTAATCATCATTTATTTCTAGAACTTACAAATGTTTAGAATTTATTAGCTGAGTGGATAGCTCAGTGGTTTAGTATCTGGCTGCGAAACCATAGGTTGGGAGTTTGATTCCCCACTGTGCCTCCTGTGAGTAGAGCCAGCCTGCGTGACCTTGGGCAAGCTGCACAATCCCTGGTACTCTCTGTATGTGTGGATGTACATCTAATCATCATTTATTTCTAGAACTTACAAATGTTTAGAATTTATTAGCTGAGTGGATAGCTCAGTGGTTTAGTATCTGGCTGCGAAACCATAGGTTGGGAGTTTGATTCCCCACTGTGCCTCCTGTGAGTAGAGCCAGCCTGCGTGACCTTGGGCAAGCTGCACAATCCCTGGGGTGCCCCCAGAAGAAAGGAATAGTAAACCACTTCTGAGTATTCTCTACCTAGAAAACCTGAAAAGGGTCTTCATAAGTCAGAATTAACTTAACAGCACAACTGTGCCTCCTGTGAGTAGAGCCAGCTTGCGTGACCGTGGGCAAGCTGCACAATCCCCAGGGTGCCCCCAGAAGAAAGGAATAGTAAACCACTTCTGAGTATTCTCTACCTAGAAAACCTGAAAAGGGTCTTAGTAAGTCAGAATTAACTTAACAGCACATGATGATGATGACGACGACAATGCTGATGACAATGGTGATGATTAGAAAATATTTATTTCTATAATCCAGCCATTATTTCTACACTTTAGAAATATAATGCACCTCTCGATGATGGGAAAGATTAACCAGCTGACCCATGTGCTTATTTACTCTACTGCCCAGTTAATAACTATGGATGGCCAACTTCAGGGTCTCCAATCTCCCTTCTTATAATTCTTTATCTTTAAAACAGGCTTGAGCCCTAAGTCTGGTATCAGTCTCAACTGGAGGTGATACACTGAACCAAAGAATCTTGCATTACATATGAACTCGCTAATTTCCAATGGATTCAAGGTGTCTGTTTTGGTTGAAACTAACAGCTAGATCCTAGGTTCCCAACCTTTGTTACTCAGATGTTTTTGAACTGCAACTCCCAGAAACCCCAGCCAGCACAGTTGGTGGTGAAGGCTTCTGGGAGTTGCAGTCCACAATTCCTGAGTAAGCCAAGGTTGAGAACCAGTGAACTAGATTTATGTCTCAGACCACACAACCTTTAAAACAGATGATACCAAATGTAGAACTGTTCTTTGATTGTCCTTCAGTGAGGGGATTCTTATCTTTAAAGTGAGGCATCTAGGTCACTTACTGACACATCCTCAAATACTACCATCACCACCACTTAGTATATTACAAAATATTTAGCAGAATATAAATAGTAACGTCTGGACTTAATTAAGAAGTTAATTTCTTTTTAAAAATGTATGTTCTGTAAGGAACATAAAATATAGTGCATTTGGACTGCATTTCTGTGCACTAATTCTAAAGTATGCCATAGTGCACTATATAAATACTTAATAATAACTGATGTTTGTATTAAAAGTGGGGCATTAAAACTAGAAACATTACATTTCACATTTCATTATACTATACAGTATTATATATATTTAGCATTCTGTATGGGCAGTTTGTTATTTCTAACTGCGTGAAATATGACAAACACAATGGAAAATGTAAATACTATAATTCTGCAAAGCATTTTAAATTGTTCCTAATGTATGCATATACAGCACAATCCTCAAACAAATGGAAATACACACTGAAAAAGCCATAATTTGGAATGAATTAGGATGCACTCCTTTACTCTAATTCTGTTTCACCTGACTGCCTCCCTTTTTTCCAAAAGTAACCTGGATATTTTACACATTTATTTATTAAGTAGTTATTCGCTTCCAAGACTAGCAACAAGAACTCATTTAAATTCTTTAATCTACAAACGCTGGGATCACAGGAAGAGCGACATTAAACACATCAATTTTGGTAGTTCAAGAGGTGACTGGGATGGAGGGAGAAAAACACACCATGCATTGTTAATAGTGGCAGTGCAAACATGGTTGGTTTCAATTTATCTCTTTTCATATTAAAAATGAATGTGATTGCCTATACAGAGCAGAAATTGCTGTTTGCATATTATTCTCACAAATGAGCAAGATACTTTTTCAAAAAAAAAAAAGCAAGGATGGAGAATGGAGGATTAATATTTGTTCTGAGCAACTCTGAGATTTCATTTTGTGAGAGTTTCCCCTCTAGATTCCACCTTTAAATTCTGCCCCTCTCTATCAGCGGATGTGGCCAACCTCCAGCTCCAGTCTAATGCTTGGCAAATAAGGCTATTTCCATTTACTCCCGTCCTCTCACCTGGACAGCAGCTGCCACCAATTTTCACATCATCTGACTTTCTTTTATGCCAGGTTTCATAGTTGCTAATAGCTCTGTGGACTTCATTCCCAATTGTGATATGTGTAATTTGCAACATATAGGCCCACCAGCTATAAGGGTATCATCTAATCATCGTGGAATGCAAACTAAAGGGCCTTATTATTCCTTCCACAATTACAGGCAATGATTCTACAGGAAAAGACACTTGGATCAACATTCTTATTTGCAATGATTACTGGATCAATGGCTTATAGGTGTGACGAGCTTAACATTTTTATAGAAGGAGTAATTAGGTCAATTGCCACAATCTGTTTCCTGTTCCCCTGGATTTTGGTGAAATGCACTCAGTATCTCTTAGAAAACAAAATTTTTGAGCATTTTTGGAGTCTTAATGTGGGGGTATAGCTATGGACTGTAACCAGGAGCATCTGCTTTTCAAAATACACTAAAGCCCCTTTTACTTATTTCTTTTGAATAAAAGTGATGTGAAGAACTGATGCAACCCTCATTTCCAGATCTGGCCCAAATTACACTGCTGTCTGAGGAAAAGAATGAGATGACTCCTGCATTCCATGTCTAAATGCCTCTTGGATGCATAGATGAAGCTTCTTCCTGCACTAGTGATGGAACAAGATTCTACATTACGCCTGAAGGCAGCAGGCTGGCTTATGGGATGGAAAGCAGATTGTGCATCGCACAGTGTGTGCCTCAGTGAGGCAGCTACCATACTCTGCCTAATAGTAGGGCTGATCCCATTGACCTTTCCTCTTCTACTAGTTTGGCTTTGTTTCTTTACATGAAGCACCGACTTCTTCAGAGAGAAAACCTGCACTAGTATGAGCCAGCAAGAGAGACACAATCAACTAGCTATTTTTTTTCCAGCTCACCAGGGGTTTGATTAAGTTTTTCTGTTTGCTGCCTATATGGAAATGCAAAAAACAGAGGGGTCACACATGCTATCAGGGCAAGAGTTCAAGGAAGAATAAGTTGAATGAGCTGGAGGGCCCTCAAACACAGCAGGACTGGCTCACACAGTTTGAAATAAGTAAAGACAGATGTACTACCAAATAGTCCCTGGGAAAATAATTAAGGACGGAGTATACTGCTATGTCTGCACTGCTCAGATGTATCTGTTTATTAACATTGAAAGTAAGTATTAATTCTTATTTAATGATTATCAGTAGGTAGCTTTCAGTTGTGAGACCTCTCTGACTGAAACCCATTGTTTTCTGCCTAATTAAAAAGATTAGTGCTTTTACTTCCCCTGCCATTCCCAACAAAATAACCTGATATAGAGCTTGAATATAGAACTGTCAAGATAATTGTCTGGTAACCTGATATTTAAAAAGAAGCATACTAGTAAACCACAACAGTGAAATAAATGTAAAGGGATAAACTAGACAGGCTTGAAATCTGCCAAACAATAATCATGAATACTAATGAGTTTTGAAGCAAATTATTTTATATTTTCTCAAATATACTGTTTTTATGCTCCTTTTTCATGTCAGTGGCTGAAATCCTGTTGCTTATCATTGTAAACTACATCTGTGAGGATGTGGTGAATCAGCTCCTCTGTACATTCCACTGATTCAGTGGGCCTACTCTAACTGTGACTTACTACGTCAAGCAATAGGATTTCAGCCAGAGAGACCCCATGAGCAAAATGTGTTCATTTTTGAAAATGTAACCACATACACAGGCACATATGTGTGTGTTTGTGTGGTTTTAGTAGTAGTAGAACAGGACACACAAAGGAACACAGATTTCTTTTTAAGTAATGAAAATGGAAAGCTTTAATCAAAAACCTTATAATTTTGGAAAGAATCTGGAGTTACAAAGAAATGTCAGCTAGTTGTCACACTTACCTCAGCTATGAAAGACTTGGCTGTTGATGGGTTCATTACCAGAATGGCTCGTCTCAAAGTATCCCTGTAACGATTGAGTTCTTCAATCCGCATGGTGGCAAAGAGCCCTGTGATCATCTTATTGATGTTGTTCTCTACCTTCTGCAGTGCTACATCCATTCCCTGCTGAGATACTTTGTCCAAAAACTCTTGTATTCCACGGATATCTGGGAACATCAAAAGCCCATCAAAATGCTAATTACCATATAGAAAGAAGACAAAACCTATTTTGGCTTATCTAAAATAAGGTATTCTGCCTCGTGTCAAGCTACCACCCCCTGAAGACCACATTAACTTAATATTCATTGGAACTGCTCCTCAGATAGCTCATGACATGTCCTAAAGGCCTAATTTGTGAGAAGGAATTTTAAGGTATTAGTTCATTTTGAAAAGAGCCATTTAAAAATGGGATTTAATTATTCCTGGATGCCTTCTTCTTTTCCTCATCTCATTGTTCCAGACTCTGACTAACCCTGTGGTGCTCAGAAAACAGCTTCTCATTAAGCAACACCTGCAGAGAAGAGGGCAATAAGTTATCAAAATGCGTCCTACAAGTGATTTCTATTTTGTTGGATGGAGTCTGGAAATCACATTGGAACAACAATATACCTGTCTGTCATCAGGGGAAAAGAAAGACTACTGCTTACTAAAATGAAAATTTAGCAAAAGTGCCACCCATTTCTAAAACAGATGTAACAGAAACCTATTATGTGTGCAGCTAGTGGCACCCATACAAATCTGATTTAAGTATATCCTGGAGTTTATGGCAGGAAGAGAGACTGCCGACCTGAATCTGCAGTGAGAAAGAGGGATCCAGTATCATATGACTCCCTGTAAACAATCAGTGAGAAGAAAAACTTGAAGAGACAAGGTGATGGTCTAAGTTTCAAGAGACAAGGTGATGGTCTTTGAGCGTCTCTCACCATCTCATTGTCATCTGTATCTTAAACCCCTTTGGCTTAGCCCCATGCAAACTTTTGCTATAGAATTAACTCATCACAAATGTACATTCTGGGCTGCTGTCTTCTCGAGGCTGACAAGGGCTCTTTTTTGTTTGTTTGTTTGGTGCCAGTGATCACATCCATGTAGGAAGAGGCATGACTTTTAATAAAAAAGATAAGAGACAGTAAAAAGCTGAAAGGATAAGCAATAAAACATCATAGTCAAACTTCATGCCCCTTCTGTGCACTGGGAGCCCCTGAAGAACAGCAGTGACAGACAGCTAGAAATCAGTTGTGCAACACCCTCCAGAGTCTAGACTTTGCTGGAGCTAATCAGTGCCCCAAATTCCTAGCTCTGACACACCTTTTCAGACAGTGCCCCTGTTCATTAACACATCTCTACGAGTTCATTAACATATCTGAGATGTTGGCCATCTTGTATTTATAGTTCACTAATTGGAAAAATGATAACAAAGCATATACATGTCTAATGAGCAAAATGATAACCAAACCAGACATAAAAAGACAACATTTCTGAGGACAGTCTGACCTGGTTTCTACTTAAAACCTGTGACCTTCTTAGCTCAGAACATCTGGGGTAAACAACTTGATCACTTGGCCAGCTAAGATTGGCTTCCAGCACTTGAGTTCTTTCCCTTAGTAAAATCTAGTAACCTCTGATGCCTTTCCCATGTCCAGAAGTATCTTAGACATTTTGCAGCATCTTAAGCATTGGACACAGGGAGACAGATTTCTTCACACCACATTAGTCTTCATTGCCATTCTTCTGCTTGGGCAGTATAATGGCCTCTGGGAAGTGAGGGGTCAAGAGTGAAAGGGTAAGTCTTTTCTTCTTCTTTCTGCAGTCTTGCTAATGAGTAATTTCATATCAAAGTAAGCCTCTCTTGTCACTAATGGAGGCTTCCCTTGAAATATAAATAGTGCTTTCAATGAGACAATTCAGGAGGGCAGCGGTAGAAAAAGGGTTGAAATTGTCGTTCTTCCCACCCCTAAGTCCAGGTTTCCTTTGCACAGCAAAAACATGGACTTTAAATACCCAATGTCATATGTATTTCCCTTAATTTTGAAGGCTATTCCTTCCTTTATGGTCTTCTCCTCCTCTCCTAAATCTTTCCATTTCTGGCGTATTCAGAGATGCAGTTTATAGAACCTGCTCAGAAAATCATGCATGGTCTATGAAGTGAGTCTATATGAAAATGAAAACAAAATAAACTTCAGCAAAACCCTAGAAAATTTCTGATTGTTGAAATTGCCTTTAAAAACGGCCTTATCGGATCAGGCAAAAGACACATTAGTCAAAAAGATCTATAGCAGGACCTGCATTCAGTGGCCCTCCCACTCATGTTCCCCAGCAAATGATGTTTAGAACCACATGAGCAATATATAGGCAATTATGGATAGATTTATATGTTTCGTGGAGTTGCTTTACCTGGAAGTCAATGGCTATGAGCAACTATTTAATAGCAGCAAATTCTATATTTTACCTGTGTGCTATGTGAAGAAATATAGCATGTACCCTGAAAATATTTAGGAAAAGGGAAAAACTTTTTATATCAGGGTTAGTCAAATTGTGGGCTGTGAGCTGTGGTCCCAAAACCCTCATTTTAGCCCACACCGCCCCAAGAAGAAACCAAATTTAAATTTGTGACTGTAGTGTGCTTTGTAAAGAGAAAACTTCCCACCCCTTTTGATTTTTAAAAATGGATGTAATGTGTTAATAATCTAGCAGAAATAAAAGCGGATTTGGATTCCCTCACCTCCGGCAAGGAACCTGGAAAGGATAACATCCCTGCTGAAGTGCTGTAAAGAGATCATCACCACCGAGCTGTATGAAATCTTTTGTCTTTGCTGGAGGGAAAGTGGAGTACCACAGGACATGAAGGATGTAAAAATCATCACATTGTATAAGAACAAAGGAGACAGGGGCAACTGCAATAACTACCATGGCATCTCTGTTCTCAGCATTGTAAGGAAGCTGCTTGCCCGTGTTGTGCTGAAGAAATCCAGCTGCTTGTAGACAGAGTCTATCCAGAATCACAGTGTGAATTTCGAGCTAACAGATCCAGTACTGACATGGTATTTTCCCTCACATAGTTGCAGGAGAAATGTAGGGAACAACAACAACCACTCTTAGTGGCCTTCATAGACCTTACAAAAGCATTTGACTTGGTTAGCAGGGATGGCCTTTTTAAAATACTTCCCAAGACTGGATGTCCATCTCGACTTCTTAACATCATCAGGTCCTTTCATGAGGAAATGAAGGGCACTGTAGTTTTTGATGGCTCAACATCAGAGCCCTTTGACATCCAAAGCAGAGTGAAACATGTCTGTGTCCTTGCACCAACCCTTTTTGGGATCTTTTTTGCTGTCATACTGAAGCACGCCTTTGGAACTGCAACAGAAGGTGTCTATCTCTGGACTAGATCAGATGGGAAGCTCTTTAATCTCTCTAGATTGAGAGCAAAGACCAAAGTCCAGCTGAAATGCATGTGGGACTTCCTCTTCACTGATGATGCAGCTGTTGTTGCCCATTCTGCTGAGGATCTCCAACAACTCATGAATCACTTCAGCAAGGCCTGCCAAGACTTTGGATAAACAATCAGCCCAAAGAAAACACAAGTCATGGGCCAGGGTGTGGACTCATCTCCCTCTATTACCATCTCTACACAAGAATTGGAGGTTGTTCATGACTTTGTGTACCTTGGCTCAATGATCTCTGACACTTTCTCCCTAGATGTCAAGCTGGATAAACGCACTGGCAAAGCACTTACCACATTCTCTGGACTCACAAAGAGAGTATGGCTTAATAAGAAGCTGATGGCATATATCAAGATCCAAGTCTATAGAGCCTGTGTCCTGAGCACACTTCTGTACTGTAATGAGTCCTGGACCCTTTGTGCAAGGCAAGAGAGGAAGGTGAACATGTTCCATATGCGTTATCCCCAATGCATTTTGGTATCACCTGGCAGCACATAGTTCCAAATAGAGTAGTCCTAGAATGAGCTGGAATTTTTAGCATGTATACATTACTGAAACAGTGATGTCTACATTGGCTTGGGCATGTTGTGAGAATGGCTGATGGTTGGATTCCAAAACATTAACTGTATGGAGAATTAGTGCAGGGAAATCGCCCCAGTAGGAGACCACAGCTGCTATACAAGGATATTGCAAGTGGGATCTGAAGGCCTTAGGAATGGATCTCAACAGATGGGAAACCCTGACCTCTGAGCATTCAGCCTGGAGGCAGGCGGTGCAGCATGGCCTCTCCCAATTTGAAGAGACCCTTGTCCAGCAGGCTGAGGGAAAGAGGCAGTCATGAAAGCAGCAAAATCGGGGAGCTGGACAGATTACAGATTGTGTTTGTCTTCAGTGTGGAAGGGATTGTCACTCTCAAATTGGCCTCCTCAACCACACTAGACGCTGTTCCAAGTCCTCCATACAGAGCACGTTACCATAGTCTCTCGAGACTGAAGGATGCCTAATCTTGATTTGCCATGTTTCAATCCAGTTGGGAGATTTCTGTCCCTCAGCAATTTGGGACCAGCACTCACTTGTGACTTGCTGGAGATCGTTTGAGTATCACTTCTCTTCCTCTTTCTGAAGGTGTTGGGAAACTATCGGGGACTCAGAAACTATGTCAGGAACTGAGAAACTCTGCTTCGCTTGTAATGACTACTGATTGCCAATTATTCTCCTATTATTAAACCACAATCATTCTCCAATTATTAAAACAGAATTGGTAAGAATGAATTTGTGACTTACAGTAAACTAATGAATGAATATTTAATGGATTTATATAAATATATTCAGTGGATTTTGAATACATACATGTAATGAACTTTAAATACATTCACATTTAAATGGATTTTAAATGCATTTACTTCATGGATTTTAAATAAAGTAATGATATATGATAGTGCATTGACAAATCAAAAAGTGAAGTTTCAGCTTATTATTTTCACTTTCACTTTCACTTGGCCCATGACCCTTTAAGAAGTATAGCCCCTCCTGGGGAGCCCTCCTGAAAAATGACCTCACCCTGACCACACAGGTGTTGCCTACCCTGATTTATATGATCTGAAGAGAAACCAGGAAATGATTTTTACAAAACTTGATTCATATTTATCACCTGTGAAATTCAACTAATAGTGCCTTTTCACCACCTACAACATGATTTTTCTAACTCTTCCTGACTACATTTAACT